CATATTTAAACTGTACAAGTATATCTGAAGCCTGGGGTGGAAATTAATATATGTTCATATGCTGTTTTTGTTGAGCAGTTGACTCATTATATTCAATGTGAAAATAACCCACTTTTCTGCAACTACAAAATATATATTACTTGCAGAACAGGTTGAAAATACTTATGGCATCTGTTGACACATGGACATTCCTGCATAACATACTAAGGAAATGCAGCCTGTGAAATTTAACTTGATTTATTTTACATAAAACCTCTGTTTTCTAAGCAAGCATTGCATTTTGAGACAATATTTCTAAAGGATAGTAAAACTGTCATCTGCATTTCATGAACTAAATATACATGATGATTTCTGCAGATGTTTCAAATTGTGACAGTTTATGTAGCAACTTAAAGTAAGCTATACTTCATAAAAGCAAAGACCAGAACACACAAAAGTTGTAGATCCATCTGTCAAATCTATCAACCAATTTCATATTGTGATGGTTTATGTAGCAACTTAAAGTACACTATAAATCATAAAAACAAAGAACAAAAACACATACAAGTTGTACATACAATGCCTAACCACTCTTAGCCTCATTTCAACCTCAAAAGTCACCATCTGGCTATGACATATGTATTCTAACAAAACTGCTCTTAACCATTTATGATACTAATATTAGCCAATATTGTGGCAAGTGTCATAACTGAAAATTCGAATTAATAACTTATGCATAAAATTGTTGTTGTTGTTGTTGTTATTGTTATTATGCTATATGCTATTGGAATGAGGATATTTAACCATCTTCCTATAAATATAAAATCATTATCATATAAAATTAAATTGTTTAAACCAGCATTAAAGAGATATCTTTGCTCGTGGTCATTTTATTCATTAAAGGAGTATTTTAATCAAAATAATTTGTAAAATACTGATTGGATGTAAATGGGATTAACTGTATGTTATATTTTTTAATTATGTTTATTACTTAGTATTATGTGATGTTTTATGATTAATGTTTAATGATTGTGACGAATGAACTTGGAGTAGTAAGAAGTAAAAGGTTGTATTTCTAACAGTGTATGAATCTATGTTGTTATGATATGGCTTGATTTAATGTTACACCATGTATCTTTTTATGTTTTGTATGAGATTGTATAAGTTGACTAGCTCTATATCCTATGGGTGCTAAAGCCCCTGTACAGGATTTGTGGAGTTATTTAATAACAACAGACAATAAACAATTATTATTAGGTCATAGCAATTAGGCTACAGACTGGACAACTGATGAATCTGGGTTCAATTTCCAGAAGGAGCAAGAGTTCTCATGACAATAGGACCCACAATGGCTAGTGGGCACATTCAGCCTTTTAATAATGGGTACTAGGGGCTGTAAAGTGGCAGCAGTGTGAAGCTGACTGCCCCCATCTAGTGCCAAGATTAAAAATGGTGTAGCTATACCTCCATTCTGGCATCTCTTCATGGAGTGGTGCTTAATTAGATATGCATAGGGATTATTTTAGCTTTACCTTTTTTCCCTGTCTGCAGTGCCAGGTCAGGTAATTACCATAGAGATGGCAAAAATTTTAACAGTTCTGTTCTGGCAAAACATGATTTTTTATAACATGTTCCACTGAAGCACTACTATCATGTCACACTGAAAAGCTACTGACATGTAAAACTGAAGAGCTAAGTGGAGTAATCATATTTCAGGGCTTGCATCTATTCTGACATAAATTTCATCCAAAACATGTTACTTCGTGTTCCAGGACCACATGTCACTTATTGGAAGACACTGGTGAATTAAGGGCTGCAAAAGCATGAAATTGTTGCTTAATGCTGCAATGGCATGGCAACAAAATTTTCATAACATAGTTGAGCAATAAAATAGATTCTTTGTATTAAAGTATTATTCATAAATAATGAATAAAAATTATCTGTAAATGACAAAATACAAATATACAGCAATCTGTGGTACATTTCAATATGAAACAGAGAAAATATTTAATATATAAAATAATTACAAGACCAATAATGAAGTTTAGAAAAAAAAATCTTTATTCTCTATACCTGCAAAATGTCTTCATGGGCTTTCAGTGCATTCATATAATAACCAACACAAATTTCGCACATTCTTATGGGATGAGCATGTCTTATAGCACACTGTGTGAAATTTGCTGTGGAATTGGCAAAATATTCAAGGCGGCTCTTACAGTCTTCCACAGAATTTATCACCTTATCATGGCTGTATCTGAAAATCACATACATACAATTGTTAATAACATGGTACAGTCATTGTAAGAAAGACATTTTGTAACTACAGGTTAACTCTCTTACCGCGTAGTTTTATAGCATATATGGTATAATAATATGTGATAACACTAGATCTATGAAGCAAATACAATAATACTTCGTATTTCATTTCATTTTTTGTACCACTACAATGCACTCAGAAACCAGCATTAACAATTGTAGTGCACAAATTCAACAACATTTTAGAAAATAAATTTACTCTATCTCAGTCATTCTATATGAGTTCTCATCTTGTTGACGCTTTCTTGGTGCATGGTATATTAGCACTGAATGAAAAATGACTGTATTATATGTATATTACAGAATTTGGAGGAGCAAGAGAGACTTTTTTATGAATTTCCTCAGCTCCTCTAGGAGCCATTTTGGATAGTACTTTAAAACAGGTCATCATTGAATGCCCTTCCAAACTCTTTAGTTTATAACCCATCAACATGAGAAAGACTTGTGAAACCGAACTATTTTAATTTCAAAAGCATCACTGAATTTCTGTACTACTACTAGTTTTAAGTTAAATGTTCAGAATGAAATGAAGCGAAAGATTAGACGTTATATTTTATTCCACTCGCTTCACATTGTCACATATGTTGTACACAATACAACAAAAATTAACTTAGTTACCAAATGACCTTTATCTTTTCCTCCATTTTTTAAATTTGTTTCTCAGATAATTTACAGATTCTGCACCAACCACAGAACTGGCTACATACTGAAGACGAAATAGTGGGATTATAAATAACGAATCACGAAGGATGTGGGAAAATTTAATTCGTGGTTTATTTTATGGTAGTCTCCTCAAGGGAGCGAGGCTTGCTGTCCCTTTTGTTTGGAACAAAATCATAAACACTGATCTTACTTTTAAGGTTCCATTTAGTAATACAACGGTGAAAGGACTATCTTGCAAGACACCATTTGGTACCGGGCTTTAATGCCTTTCTGTAAGACCACCGACGACTGAGTCAGTCGCAGCGATACAATATATCACAAAATGTATATCTCACCTTATTTGTCCTTCCACCAGTGAAGGAAACAGCGACGGGCCGCTCTTTACATATGCAAATAATAAGGCACATAAAAGGTACTCGAAATTAGCCTGTGCCATTAAACTTTTCTCGTATATTACAATGACATTTCTCTCATGAACTACATCCACGTGAAAAACACATCTAATCTGGCAACATAGCATTATTTATCAGGTATACCAATGTAGGCAATAAACATTCTCTTTAGCAACTCAAATATGAAAACTGTCAAACATGCACGTACACCTGTTGAACAAACGTCTGTATCACACAGAACTTCAATAACGAAACCGGAACTTCAAATTATGACTTGTAACATACAGCAAATTCGCTCTCTGTTACCCCTTTAGCGAAGTCACCCGTTCGTTCCAATTAATCAGTTCTGTGTTTAGGAATGTCCTATACATCCCAGCTAATTGAGTGATCTTCCGTTAAGTTCGTTAAAGTCTGTATGGTCTGTATACACACCATTCCAGTGGATACGAACCCACTCTTATACTACCTACCACGGATCAATCTACCAACTCTCCTACCATCTATTCCAACATCAATATAGCGGTGTGCTTTCTTTCGATTCCGGGACGACACTAGCGCCACAAGTTGGTCCAAGAAAATTAGATTTGTAATATGGGTTCCAGAGGGTTCGAGTATGATCCGGTATAGTGAAGGGATTTACTTGGTGGGAGGGCTTTACTTTGCAGACCGGCTCTGGGAACCACCCAGCCACCTATTCAACGGGCACTGTGGACACTTTCCCAAGGAGTTAAGCGGCAGGGGGGTATGTCTGACTACTCACCTCCTCCTGGTACCGCGATCAAGAATAGTGGACTTTATAGACTGCATCCTTTGTGTATGTAATATTTAATTTCTTATATTATGACCGTCGACACAAGTAATATAAGAATATCTTCAATAAAGACAATAGGTGTTGGTACATAATTACATTAACATCAACAGGAGGCAACATTCAAACCTACATTTCTGAAACACCTAAGCTTCCACGATAATCTAGGATAAAAGTGAAAAGTGGAAGAAATAACAACCAGACTTTATACCATACAGTAGTATATATGATGTACAAGACAACAAGCAAGATACAACAAGCCCCCCCCCCCTTCAGCATACCAACCCATGTCAGTAGAAGATCGCACTTGAACTAGCACAGCATCTAATCTGTGTTTTACATACAACATACAATGAATTTTTATGCCATTTATATTTTTAATACTTTTAATATTTCACATTTTCATTTTATCTTTATGTTTTTAGTCATTATATATACTAAAATACAGATATATACCTCATATATACGTGTAAATATATACCGTATTTACGCATGTATAGGCCGCGTGCGTGTATAGGCCGCAGCACAATTTTCAGACAGAAATTATAGAAAAAATAATTTTCTTGGAATATTATTTCAGGAGTAGAAATTATTCCGAAATTTGGTAAAGTTAAATTTTTTTTAAATGAAGTGTGATTTCGAATATTTCGAATATAAGCCGCACCCCAGTTTTCCTCTTGAATTTTTGGCAAAAAATGTGCGGCCCATACATGCGTAAATACGGTATTCGCTAGCAACGCAGCCATCAGTTGCAAGAATACGAATCCGTATTATAACCAATTTTAATAACTTGAGTTATGTTCGTGAGTGCCTGATGATGACCTAATTATATGATCGAAACATGTAGCGCAGTTACGTTCATATTAAACACGTAAGATATATACTAACACCTATTGTCTTTATCGAAGATATTTCCATATTACTTATATATAAGGAATTAAAAAGAATAGAGGAGTTACACCTCTGCTACCCCATGTTTTCATGGCGTGGTGCTTAATTAATTAAGCACAGGAATTTTACCTTTTGATATAGGTTAGAGTACATAGTGATCCATAAATTCAAAAGACAGCAACGATACCAATACACACTAAAGGAACTGCGTCAGAATACTATAGGAATGCAGTATAGAACACGTATTACTAAATACTAAGTATACAGCATGCACAGATCGCACGAGAGATCTTTTACATGTTGAACAAACCTTGACAATCGGGAAACTAGCAGAATCAGTCACAGCCACGGGGAGAAACACAATCACAGACGATAATGGTATATGTGGCAACTCACGGGTACCAAATAACTTGTGATAAACATATTTGATGCTACAGAAAGACCCCCTGATATTCAATGCAATAATTGAAGGCGCAGCGCAAACGAGCAAGAAAGAAAGAATGTACAAAAACTTATGCTATCGTCGATGACATTGCAATGACCTACACATCGATACAAGGACTATAAGTCTTTCAAGGATAGAGAAAAATAGAGTGGAAAATTAAACATTATAGGAGGAATGGATATTACTCTGTCAATAGCAAAAAAATAAAATACCGGAAAACAACGATGAGATTGTGTGACTTTATTCAGTGAATGACTGAAAGACTGCAGTAAAATGAATTGTACTGATCACTACAAGGAGAAAGAAGGATGAGGAGGAGAAGAAGGGGAGGAGGAGATAAAGGACAAGGAAATGGAGATCTACATATACATGGAAAACAAACATTAAATCCATTATGGAAAGTCGGGGTTCGGAAGAGAGAGGCCGGAAAAACAGGTTATTGCGTAAACTGAAGGCAGTAAATCCATTAAGGGACACGAGGAAGAAGAAAAAAAAAGAGGCAGTAAGTCAAATTTCTGATCAATGAGCTAGAAAATCAAGATTTCTTGATGATATCTTGTTAATATACTACGTAGGTCTATGTATAATCTGAACTTATTCAACGTTCTGCTGCCAGGTTACGGAGCATAAATCCTACATTTGATTCCCAGGCTATTCCTCTTATCTGTCCTGTCTAGATCTAGCCTGTAGCTTACCCACAAGTTCTCCTGATAGCAGAGTGCAAAGCTCACTACTAAATCTAATGCCCGCTTTACCCTTAACACTTTTAGGATCAACCCTCAATATACTTGCATCTAACATGCCAGCTGGACCAACCCTGCATGTATTCGTTCCCGGTTTGTTATTTTTGTCTTCATGTCGACACTAAACACATTCGTACTGTACAATCTTTGCATACCTGCATGTTCGTAGCTGTTCAACGAATATAGTTGAAACGGTAGTAAACATTTTCTTTCATGCAAAACCGACAGAATAAATGGAGTAAAATCTGGAATACTCACAATGTATATGTCCAGAGGAATGTCACTACAAAAACAAGTAAAAAGGTAAATCTATCCCTGTAACAGGCCGTGGAGGCCTATAGGTTTGTGAGACGTCGAGGCTCCTGCAATTTCTAGACAGTCGGCTCATAGATGGCCGTGAGGTTGTCAGCCTTACTCGCCGGTCTACCTTTACTCCCAGGAAGAATTGTGGTACTCATTTCTTTCAGAGGCTGAGTCGACGACAGGACCATAGTGTGGCTGGAGGGATTAGGTCAATTGAAAACTTCAATGACCTCATCGGGAATCGAAACCGCTACCTTCCGGCTTTGTGACTCAACTAACTACCGCGTGTCCTCTACGAAAACAAGTAGAAATCATTAAATTAAAATATGTAGTCAGAATCAAAGGATTCCACAGCCTTTATGGTCTTACATCAAACTAATGAGTCGTTACTGTAGTAAAGTGCTGTTATTTTTGGCATGGCATTACAATGTGAAACTAAAGAGTGTTCACCTCTCGGGTTAGTCATACTCTTCTAAAGCGTCATTTGTCATCGACAAGATGTAGAAAACTGTCGTTTCTATAGGCCTCAAATTTATGTAACATCTATGTGAAACCTGGTATCTTAAACTTTCGGGGTTTTTTTTTTTTTTCAGATAGAGCAGATTGTCATATGAGTAATGGAAAGACTTGTGAAGTTATACTTCATAAAAGAGAAAACAGTAATCAACGATTTGTGATTCAAATGATTACGCGGTTTCACGGATGTTCGAAATTCGGAAAACAGACCGAACACGTCCTGTGGTTAAACAAATACAAAATGCCAGACGAGTGTAGGTATGGCTACGGCTTCCAATTGATGTGACTAGTCGTGTGGAAATTTATGAAAACTTCATGCATTTGCGATCACGCATTTAAGGAACAGGAGAAACATTCATTCACACATAATCCCAAACTCTTAGATAACAAACAGCGCTGGGTGTCTTTATATATAAATTCTCTACGGAGGATTCGAAGATGTCAGTTGGTGAACTTAACTCCTCTCTAGAACAGCTAAGATGGCTTCTCTTATCCAGGTACGTGACGGGGTCAGAGGAAAAATTAACGTACTTTCGTTATGTTTATTTGTGTGTATATTTATATGGGGGGATAGCTCGGAACATAGACTGAGGGTGTTGAGGAGAATATTTGGACCAAAGAGAGATGAAATCACAGGAGGTTGGAGAAAACTGCATAATGAGGAGCTTCATAACTTGTACTCTTCTCCAAGTATAATTAGAGTGATCAAGTCGAGGAGGATGAGGTGGGCAGGTCATGTAGCACGAATGGGGGAGAGGAGGAATGCGTATAGGATATTGGTGGGAAAGCCAGAAGGAAGGAGACCACAGGGAAGACCAAGGCGTAGGTGGGTGGACAATATTAGAATGGATCTTAGAGAGATAGGATGGGATGGTATGGATTGGATAGATCTGGCTCAGGATAGGGACCAGTGGAGGGCTCTTGTGAACACGGTGATGAACCTTCGGGTTCCATAAAATGCTGGGAAATTCTAGAGTAGCTGCAGAATTGGCGGCTCCTCAAGAAGGGCTCAGCTCCATGAGTAAGTAAGTAAGTCGGGATAGCTCAGTCGGTGTAGCGAGGGACCATGACCTGGACAGCTGGGGTTCAAATCCCTGCTGGGGCAAGATTTTTCTCTTCTCCATAACGTCCAGAACGGTTTTGAGGCCCACTCAGCCTCCTATCCAACGGATACCGGGGGCGATTTCTCCGGCAGTAAAGCGGCCGGAGCGTGAAACTGACCACTCGCCTTTATTTTGTGCCAAGTTCAAAAATGGTGGAGCTAAGAATATACCTCAACTCCCCCTTATGTCTTCATGGCACAGTGCTTAATTAATTAAGCACAGGGACAGCTTTACCTTTTTATACGCACGTATGGTTTGTTTAACGACGTTTTAAACAGTTGAGATTATATAAGGATCTAGAATTCCAAATGAATATTGGATTATAAGAATGTGAAAGGAAGCGAATGTTGCTTGACATATTTACTATGCCGGCGTTTGCATGGAGGAACTGAGGGAAACCACGAAAAACCAAAAACCTCAGTTAGAATAGCTAGTCGGTATGGATAACACAGCATTATGTTATACCGAACCTATCTGGAAATATGAAATCCATTTAGCATTTCGGTTGAGAAAACTAAAGGAAGAAGACCAATTAGGGAACTGAGGTGGAACTGAAAGGAACTATTAGATGTAAATGCGAACTGGACTGAACAGACTGAGGTTAGGTTAGAACTGCGGCCTTTTCTGAACATGATGATGAAATTTTCTTTTTTACAAAAAGAAATAATTTATCTACTACCTGAATAACAATACTTAAGTATGACTGAGAGCAGATAATGTCATTTAACAAATGGAATTCTATCAAGAATACATGAACAGTATGGAGAAGTCTCTATCGGTGTAACCAGAACTCGGTGAGGAACTGCAGAATAACATGTCATTTCAGGTGTTGGCTACACTGATGCTCCTCTGGACCACCGTGTCAGGGCAGTATGGATACAGCTACAGCTCGTTCTCTGGGCCTGTATCGGGAGAAATACGTCAGGTTCCTGTTCAACATCATTACAACCCCCACCAGCACGTTGCAGCGACACATCACCACCCTTCTTACAATGCTAAAGTCGATTACGTGGTAAGCAACACAGGCCTATGCTTTCATCTGTAGACTAAGACACATATGTGATTATCCATTCAATTCCCAACAAGAAAATAAAAGGAAGCAGCGCACATCGTAATATCCAGAGCTATGATAGAGCAGTCAGGAGTTTATAGTGCCTAGACTATGAAGTGGGAGACCCGAATTCAGTTCCTCGCAGGGACAGATATTTTCTTTTCTGTTCCCCTTACTCATCCAACTGGAATCTTTAACTGGGAATAAAGCTGGTCACTCACATACATCTAGCATAGGGGTCATGAATACGTGCGACTATACCTCACCTCCCAGAACCCTTCACAGCAGCACTTAAACACAAGGACACATTTACTTTTCGCTCATATTAAATCATAATCGGGGATCCGGGATAGCGTACTAGGTATCGCGACTGCCTACGGGCTGGACCTTCGAGTCCCAGTAGAGTCAAGAATTTCCTTTTCTTCATGTCGTCCGGGCCGATTCTGGAGTTCACCCAACCTCCTATCCAACAGGTGCCGGGGGGTCTTTCCCTGGGAGTAAAGCGGCCCGGACGTAAAGCTGACCACTCACCTCCAGCTAGTTCCGAGGTCAAGAAAATGTGGATCTATACATCCACTCCCCTATACGCCTTCATGGCATAGTGCTTAATTAGTTAAGTACAGGGAGACACATTTACTTTACTTTAATCCATAATCTCTATAGATTAAGTTCATGAAAACCAGAGGCAAGAAAAATACAGACGTATAAATTGGATTTAGTGAGAGTGCACCAGGTCAGATGGAAAAAGACTGACACTGAACCAGCAGACAGTTCGATATTTTTCTGTTAGATGGACTATTAAAAAGAGCCGGGATAGCACAGTCGGTATAGTGACTCGCTACTGGCTGGACGACCGAGGGGTCGGAGTTCGAGTCCCGGTAGGGTCAAGAATTTTCACTTCTCCATGTCGTCCAGACCGACTCTGGGGTCCACCCAACTTCCTATCCAGTGGTTACAGGGGGCTCTTCCCCCGGGAGTAAAGCGGCCGGAGCGTGAAGCTGATCGCTCACCTCCAATAAGTGCCAAGGTCAAGAAAATATGGGTTTATACATCCACTCTCCCATACGCCTTAATGGCGAGGTGCTTAATTAGTTAAGCGCAGGGACGACTTTACCTTTTTTTTTTCTTTGCACTACAGCCCCAGTGGGCCTAGGCTTACCTCCATGAACTTCTCCGTTCACTTCGGTTTTTCTAGATCTTACACATTCGATAGGACTCCTTGTGCGGGTGATCAGCCCGTCGCAAGGCCTCTATCTGTACACAAACACAGAAAAACGCACACACACAAACTAAACATCCATGCCCTGAGTGGGATTCGAACCCACGATCCCGGTTTCAAAGCGAGCGAAGACAGTACATGCCTTAGACCGCTCGGCTACTGTGACCGGCCAGGGACAGGGAATATTAATCAAACCTTAGATACAGACTTTCACGTATCTTTTTAAGTGAGTTATTTAACGACGCTTTCAGCATCGAGATAACTGATGGATTGGAAGGATTAGTTGTGGCTTAATAGAGGCACTATTCCAGCATTTGCCTGGACGTAGTGAGGAAAACCGCGAAACCTCAGTCAGGACTGTTCATGTACCGGCAGAGATTCAAGCCGAATACAAGTCTATAGCGTTATAGACGAGCCTGTTCTATTTGTCTGTTTGTTTCTGTCTTTCATATAAAGGAGACATAGAACAGCAGTTAAGAGGCTAGAATTTCTTATCTATATATCTAGTATTTAACCAAAGACTCACTGGCGTCAAATTGTTCCGAATAATACAATTCGAGATAGGCTGTGTGAGGGGATGTTAAAATGGAGCTTAGCGAAATGAGGTTCGAAGATGAGGACTAAGAAAAACTGACAGGATAAGGACCAGTGACGAGCTATTGTGAGCATGGGCTTTTATGGAACCCGAAAGTTTATCACCGTTATCACAAAAACCTGCCACCGGATCCTATCCTGATCCAACTGAATCCAATCCACATTATCGAGCCGTATTTATTTGCGATCCACTTTAATATTTCTTCCTCTCTACCACCAGATCTTCCAAATTATCACTTACCTTCATATTTTCCTCTAAAATGCGTACGTATTTCTCACCTGTCCCATGCGTGCTACGTGCTTTGGTTGGTTCAGTATCGCAGTTACAAACGAATCCCAAGAGGTTTGCTTATAAACAGGAGGGACGAGTTGTGCAAAAGTTCGTGGTTACTGAGTAGGGAAAACGACTGGAAGCTTCCCATTGCCCGAAGGAACTTTGGGAATTCTTTATCTTTACTTCCATGAAGCTTCTTGAACCTAACAACTTCTCAGCTCGTTTTATCGGGGGCAGTTGGAAGGTGAAGTATTAGTAAATGACCTCTCGCGTTCTTCTAGCGCCGAAATAAAGCCGTCCCGTCCTCAAATTCATATTTCTCTTGATTATCTCTACAATGTCATAGCTCAGAAGGTCAGACAATGTCTTCCTACCGCAGAGGTGATTTCATGTGAGATCCGTGGTTGCCGAAGCGCCACTGGATAAAATTATTCTGAGTTTCTTCGTTTTCCCCTGCTAATAACTATTCCATCATTGCTCCGTACTTATCTACCGCAGCCACTTGATATGTGCCACACATCTGACTGCAGTACACTGCCACGTCCCCGGTCTTGAGACTTCATCTGTGACCCAACGTTTCGCTGCTCGCAGAATAAGGAAGTTAAGCATTTTATATAGTGCACGAAAGGGGGAGTGCTATGCATAATGAAATAGAACACACATGGCTTATACTTAGACATTAAATGTTTGACTTTGGCATGGAAGGACTGAAGAAAACAAAGAACTTCAGGTAGGTTAGCCGGACTCCGAAGAGTATGTGTAGTGCAGTGTATGAAACAGGAGTGATAACATTCCATCGCGAGCTTATTTAGTGACTAACCTACTGCTTACGCAACAATATCTGTAATAGAGAAAGCACGCGGTATGATCAAGTGGTTATGTAAGATCTGGTGACCACATGGTCCAACCGTGACGCAGGGCAGAGAGAGCGCCATGCCTCGTTTATTTCGCGCCGTTTCACCCACACACTGCGACCTGCTCTTGGGAGAGATCGGCTTCTGACCGAAGTATTGTGATGGAAATGAAGGCGTGACCAATGTTCAACCAGATCTAAACTCGTCAGCTCCTCGCTACAGAGCTCAGTATATTCGGAATGTCCTTAGTTCCACAGTGATGGGGTTTCATTATTTAGGGTGATCAAATCAAGAACTCTGAACTGGGCGATACATGTAATTAAAAAAAAAAAAGATATTTTCTTTCGGGGCCATCCTGACGAGGACCAACGAGACAACCAGTCGAATCATGTAAAATATATCGGTGTAATCTTCGATGAGAGGATTGCATGCAGACTGCACATAGAAATGATTAAAGCCAAGGCCTTCAGAGTATTGATTATAATCGACTCCTTATTCAAAATTGAGCGTTTAAGCGCCAACATTAAATTAACCCTCCATAAGCAATGCTTGCCGGTCACGGTAGCCGAGCAGTCTAAGGCATGCACTGTCTTCGCTCGCTCGGAAGCCGGGATCGTGGGTTCGAATCCCACTCAGGGCATGGATGTTTTTGTGCGTTTTTCTATGTTTGTCTACAGGTAGAGGCCTTGCGACGAGCTGATCACTCGCTCAAAGAGTCCTACCGTATGTGTAAGATCTAGAAAAACCGAAGTGAACTGAGTTCATGGAGGTAGGCCTAGGCCCAGTGGGGCTGTAGTGCCAAGGAAAAAAAAAAGGCACTGCTTAGCTCAGTAATGACTTATGCTTCCCCCGCCTGGAAATTAACGGCAGGCACCTACCTCCTAAAATTGCAGCACCCGCGAAACAAGGTTCTTCCCAACACTGCAAATTTCCCAAGATGCACACCGGTCCGCGATTTGCACACGGCTTTCAACCTTCTGTATGTATACGATTATATATCAAAACTGTGCAGGTAACAAGCAGAAATAATACAAAATCATGAGAATTAAAATGTTCGCAGCATAGGACAAGGCGAAGCCAGACATAGGAAATATAACAGACTTGCGATAATTTGAGTGACTAAGCTGCCGTTGTAGCATGAGAGAAGATAGACATGATTTGCTTTGCAAAGCCTGGACTGACAGAGGACTTGTATACAATGTACTTGACAAAGGCGAAGTGTATTCAAAAGAGAGAAACCTATGCTTTCGCCAGAAAGGATGTTGAATAAGGACTATGAACGCAACGGTTCAGTTACAAAAAAAAAATCTGGTTGTGAGCGTCAAGGGGCTTGGCGCCAAGATGAAATGGTTGGCGGTAAACCGCCAGTCGTAAAGTAACTCAGACTCTGACTGTGACGAGTCTAGAGAGAGTCTGCAGGCAAACAGACTAGTCCGAGTCTGCGGCTGCTGTGAAACAGTCGCCCCAGGTGGAGGGGTGGGAGGTGTAGAAGCCGCCACTGTTTTAAGCCGTTGCGTAGCAACTTTGAGTTAACTGTGAAACAGTCGCCGGCCAGTAAGGACGTGAACACGGAAGCTGAGGGATCTACTAGGTTGGGATCCTTCATGAGGCGACAACAGCTGAAGACCCAGCAGACCAAGAAGTTTTAGCGCGTGCTGTAGTGAACTGTGGAGTGCATAATTTGGCGATAGCGGCGTGGTTACGTGTTGTTGCGATCTGTAAGTATTCAATTTATATAAAATTACCAATACGAACCCCATTTACAGTCATTTAATCACGCGTGACATTTAGATGTGTATTTGATCCATAGAGTGTTAAGGTTTAGCCTGGACTTAACTGGCTTAGGTTAGGGTCCAGTAGCGAGTTCTTGTGAACATTCAGATTCCTCCAAATGGCAATGATTTATTGACCAGCTGAGCCAGTAACAGCTTCTCAAAGAGGATTCTTCTCAGCTGATATAGCTCCATAGTTATTGTCTTTGAATCTTTTACAGAAGAAATTGCCACAGAACGTACAGAGCACCGTATTTACCAACGATTCAAATTTAGGTACAGCATGGGGAAAAACAAAATCTTGAAAAGAAACTAGAAAGAGAAATAAGGATTAGAAGAGAGAAAAAACACGAATTTAAAACTTTGTAACTGTGTATCGATAGTAATATTAGGGGTCATAATCCTGTCAACATTGTCTCTCACGAAGTGGCATTTTATGTGACCGAAGGCAGCGGTGAATATTACGTGACTGAAATGATTATGTAATTCCTATGGAAGTGAACACAAGTATGTCATTTACAACATAAATTCGGAAGTAGTATGTAAGACCGCTGTAGCTGGAAAATGTTTCTATTTTGATATGTGAAAATATTAAACACGCAACTATGAAACTGTAGAGAACTGGAAGGAAATTCAATATTGTACCTATGAGACAAAGATGAGACTATCTTTGCTGCAAAATATGATATTAATGTTTAGCTATAGGCCAAAATATACATTTCGCTCCCAGGCGAAAATGCAATGTGAGAAAATTTAAATTTTTAAAATATACTAGGATTATAGGGCGAATCCATATCCAGTTATGAAACTTTAGTAAAAGATAAAGCGTGCATTTGGAAGCCATTTATATTCCGACATTGAGAATATCTTTTACATTGCTCAAAATTAAGTCAATTTCTTAAATAATTGCTACATTAATGCAACCGCACGGGTTATTGCTGTGAGCTGTAACAGGCCAGGAAACAAAAGAAGATTTTCACAGGTACAGATGTTGTGAGATGTCCTTAAGCTGTAATGAGCAAAATTCATAATTTCTTCGCTGCCTATTTAAACAAGTAAAATTTCTTTTAAAAAAATAACCGATTCCTATAATTTAAACTTTCAGAGCACTATTTAATCGATTGATGAATGAATTTATATGCATTAAAAGTGTGTTCACGGCGTGGCGCTTAATTAATTAAGTATAATTTTACCTTAATCTTCCTACTGCAGTAAAATTACAAAACTTCTTTAATTGAAGATTTTGTTTTCAGTTCTAAAGCGTGTCGTTTGTTTGTAAGTGTACTGTATGGCCGCGAATCACATCACAATTTTGGTTTTCCTTTAGGTCGGCGTCCGCATGTCGTAGTTTCCTTTATCCGGTCGTCATTACCCTGAAGAAAGACATTCGTTTGACTGGCAGAAAACCGGGCGAATGTATATATGTTTGATCCAGTATTGATGCCTACTAATCACAGTGGCCGCGCGGTCTAAGGCATGAACTGTTTCCAGCCGTTCAAATACTGGGATCGTGGGTTCGAATCCCACTTGAGACATGGATATCTTTGTCGTTCTGTGTGTAGGTAGCGGCCTTGCGACGGGCGGATCCTCCGACTGTGTAAAAGATCAAGAAACTGAAAAAGAGGCGAAGGCGCAACAAAGGGCTGTAGAGCCGTAGATAAATGATATTGATGCCTCACGGCAATTGCAGCTCGACGGTAGACAAGTCTTGCTGTCTCTCTTCCTCTCGTTTTCCTTGCTTCCTACAGCAAGGCGCTAGCCGCTATTGCCCTCTGATTGATACCACAACAATGTAGAATGGCAACGAAAGAAAATAACTGTCGTCATTCTACGCGTAGACTCAGAGCCATAGCCCAGATCAGCTTACTGTGGTTTTCAGCTATGCATTTATTTCATTTTGATGCATTAACAATCTGTAAATAACCAAAAATACTGGCGTCAAATAATCACAAAAACTGATGCAAAACTAATTAATCATATGAGAAGGAAATTTGTATTGTATGATGACAGATACTCATTATGAGATAATATTCGCATTTACACGTAGATCGGCAACATTTCCTGTTGCCTTCTCACTTCTGACATGTCCTCCTTTCTCCCATTTCCGACACGTCCTTTAGCTCTCTCACGTCTCATGTGTCATTTTGCGCTCTCACGTCTGGTGTGTTATTTTGCACTCTCACGTCTCATGTGTCATTTTGCACTCTCACGTCTCATGTGTCATTTTGCGCTCTCACGTCTGGTGTGTCATTTTGCACTCTCACGTCTGGTGTGTCCTTTTGCTTTCTTCCACAGGCTAAACCAGACTACACGTTCGCTTACGGCGTTGAGGATCCCCTGACGGGAAACTCTCAGAACCACAAAGAGACTCGTGATGGTGACGTAGTGAAGGGCCAGTACACGGTCCTGGACCCTGACGGCTCCACTCGTACAGTCACCTACACTGCTGATCCACAGAACGGGTTCCAAGCAACGGTGCACCAGTCAGCACCTTCGAACAGCGTGCACCAACAGGCACCTGCACCACGTGGCCACTATAACGGGGATTACTATTACCAGTAAAACGTAACGGACAAATATACGCCACAGTTCTTTATTACGACGAATGGACTTGGGGGGGGGGATAATATGACGGAAGTATATATACTGTTTAAAAGTAACTTTCAACGGAATTCGAATTTCCAGCAACGGCGGGAACTAGGCCAACACAGATACACGTGCAAACGAGTGAAGTTTATTCTTGTTTATGGCATCATAATACGCGTGAACTGAGATCTAAATTAAGTTAAGAGGAAGATTAACGATTTTTCCGTTACCTTCCCTTTGCAAGGAAGAATTATTTACTATTGTAACGCTATGTAACCGACACCATGCTATAAAGATGATTCAGTGCAGCATCTTGAAGGACTAATATGAGACACGTTACCTACGTCGAAGGCAATCTGACAATGTATTTCTGAGGACGAATGGGAGAAAAGTTCCGGCCGCGGGAAGGGACTCATTACTAGACCTCTAAGGACGCGAATGAGACGTTATCTCCGAGGACTCTGATTATTCACTGTGTTTCTATGGACGAATATGAGACAATTTACTTCTGCCAGGACGGATTCAATGTTATATTTCTAAAGACGGACATAAAAGAAATATCTTGACGGGAGGAAATTCAACGCTGGATTTGAAAGGACGAATATAAGACAAGTTGTGTCAGTGTAGACGAGTAAGAGACAAGATTCCTCCGTGAGAGGGGATCCAACACTGTACGCTATTTCCAAGGACATACAAGACCGGTTACCTCCGTGAGAGAGGATTCAATACTGTACATTATTTCCAAGGACATACGAGACGAGATACCTCTATGAGAGGGGATCCAACACTGTACGCTATTTCCAAGGACATACAAGACAAGTTACCTCCGTGAGAGAGGATTCAATACTGTACTTTCTTCCAAGGACATACGAGACAAGACACCTCCATGACGGGGAATTCAACACTATACACTATTTCCAAGGACATGTGAGACAAGTTACCTCCGTGAGAGAGGATTCAGTAATGTACTGCATTTCTAAGAACAAATACGAGACAAGTTACTTCTGCGGGAGCCAATTCAACAATAAACTTGTAATGAACACATGATGAACCCTCCATATCCTCCAACTTATTGGTTTTTATTTGAAAGTCCTAAATACCTGATGTCAGTTTTATGGTAATGATTGTGATCGCACACTATTGGCAAAGAATTTACAAATTTTTTTTAAAAGTTAGTGATCTCCACTATTTCATAGAAAACAATTCATGTCACATGACCTATGTCACGTTTGGTGATATAATTAAACAAGATATCATTTACTTACAACTAAACAGCGACATAGGGAGTTACACTAAACATTTTATTTAAGATTATTTTTACCAATACAAGAAGGAAACTATTCTGACTTTTCTGAAAGAACAAGTATTTTAAACCTTTCTTAAAATGACAATAAAGTGTATTTCCCTTTTCGAGATAGAATATCATAAGCAAATAAACTCCTTAAACAACATACGTGATCCTACAACTTCAATAATTGTATAAATAACTTCAACATAGGCCTACATCCAATTTCGAACTCAAGAAAGAAGCAAGAATTGACTTACTGTATTCACTGCCACGCAAAAACAACAGAGTAAAATAATACTGAAGGCTTACATCAGCAGACAGTGCTGCAAATCCTTAATTTCTGTCTTTCCTACAGAAAATTTGTTGAACAAAAGGCAGCACCGTAGGATTTCAGTCAATTCAGCTCGATAACCTTAACAGTATGCTTTCACATAATCAATAATAATCCTATATAACACACAGATTTTTCGAGACATAATTCTGTGAGGATCACATACAATTTTTTGAAAATTAATCGCGGCCACATAACCTTGAAGATAATTACATAAGCAAAAAAGAAAAAGAAACTGTGGCCTGTAGTCCGTAAGGGAACTATACCAACTGGGCGCCTCTGTGGTCTAGTGGTCAGAGTTCCTGGCTACAAATCCAGAAGTCCCAGGTTCGATTCCTGGCGCTACCAAATTTTCTGACAAGTAGTGGGTCTGGAACGGGGTCCACGCAGCCTCGTGAGGATAACTGAGGAGCTATTTCAAGGAAATTGCATTTCCGGTCTAGAAAACCGAAATTAATTATCGCGGGGATCCGTTGCGCCGACCACGTGACATCCTCTATCCGCAAAAGTTGGCACTAACTTCGTCGACAAGCGGCGGTAGCTCGGTCGGATAATTTCATAGACGAAGTAATAAATTAATTAATATAATTACATTATTCAATTTTTGCATTGAACTATACACATATTTGTTTAGTTTTGTGACACTTTAGTGAATTGTTGAAACTTCAGGTTATATGAATTGCCTTCCTAAAATATAAATTGAATTTCTAGAGTTTCATACAAGCTGTAATTTAAAGTTGGAACCTTATGGCTCTCTTCAATTTATTATTAGTAGAATATTAGCTTCTGTTTATCTACTTTCTAGTCAGGCAGAAATAAAAGTGACGTGGATTGGCCAACTTCCTGATATGAAGATATTCACTACCATCTCCAAGGTGTCTATGTAACATAAACACTTGATATGATATACTATAAAAATAAAATATATTGCAGAAACCACAACAGCTTGTTTTAATGAAACACATTGCGTATACAAATATATGTGTATTTCTAATAACCATGTTCACACAAGTTGCACCACTGTCTAGTTGTTCAACGGATTACCGTAACGACACGCGTTTTCCGAATGTGCCTATACTTTTTTTTTTATTTCTTTCATTCTGGTCCGTCACACTAACAATTATAAATACAAACCACTCCGTCAAATGTGACATATAAGTTTTTACTACGTTAAAACTTATCTCCCTTGCATGTTTCGGTCCTTACGGGCCATCTTCAGAGGGAAACTACCATCACAATACCTATTGTGATGGTAGTTTCCAGTCTGTAATGATGTTCCCTGTGAAGATGGCCTGTAAGGACCGAAACATGTAAGGGAGATAAGTTTTAACGTAGTAAAAACTTATATGTCACATTGGACGGAGTGGTTTGTATTTATAATTGCCTAGAATTTTTTTTAATGGGGTAGACAACAAGAACAAACATTCGTTATTTCTTGGAGACCAAACATAGCAACTTCGAAATGATCGTCATCTTGAAACGTAAAAGTAAAAAGAAAAGTAAATTTATCTCTGTAACATGCCGTGAAGACCCATAGGGTTGTGGGACTTCGAGGCTCCCACATCTTCTAGACAATCGGGGCACAGATGGCGGTAATGTTGTCAGCCTTACGCGCCGGCCGCTCTTTACCCCACAGGAAGATTCCTGGTACTCATTTCTGTTAGAGACTGATTCGACGCCAGGGCCATAATGCGGCTGGAAGGATTAAGTCAATTTAAAACCCCAATGACCTCATCGTGAATCAAATCCGCGACCTTCCGGCTTGTAGCATAGAGCTTCAACCAACTACGTTACCGCGTGCCCCCCACTATGGTTTTGAAAGACTTGCGAGAGAAGTGATTGTTGTTAAAAAGTGTTAAAATGAATCAGTTTTCACACTACCTAGAGTCAGAAATAATTTCGACTAGTACTTGCATAGATATGCAACACACAAGTGCTTTTCAAATAAATCATGTAGATGTAACAATTTTTATATTGTCGTTACGCAGAACTTGTTTTGCACCGTGGGTGGATTCTGAGAAAACTGGTAAATTCGATTTGTGGTCCACGTGAAGGAGGGTATAAATTCAAAAGTAAGCCCACTCGACAACGCTGAATGTATAACTGGTAAATTTAATCCGAAATCGTTCAGCACTTTCGAGACGAAACATTCCGATATTCGGCCTCACAATTGTATGTTGTATTTTAGCGTCCTGTTGCACTGATTTTCATCCATGATACGTATGTAATGGCCGTCTTGTAGTGCACTCAATTTCATATGTCGCTTCTCTCTACAACGCTCGCAGCCAAAAAGGAAGGACACATCACAGACACAGTACACACAGAAACGACTCCCAGTTGGACGAACCATACAATACGCGAGTTTGAATTAAGACATATAGATGAATAATCTTAACAAGTTTTAGTATATACAAATTTTATTATAGTTGACGAATAATGTACTTTCTAAATAATTTTATGAAAGACACAAGATGGCAAACAATGTAATGTAATTTAGCGTAAATAACGAACCTGAAGATGGCACTATGTTGCCGAAACATGTAGAAAGAAGCGACATATGAAATTGTGTGCATTACAAGACGGCCATTACATACGTATCATGGATCCAACTGTATGTTCGTTTTATGAACCTGGAAGAAACAGCGCTGTGTTATTTTGTTTGATACGGTAACAGCGCCTAGCGATGTACTGAATTACATGGAGCGCCATGCAAGGAGGACGTCGCTCTAATCTGCAACCAGCAATCCTCTTCTTATGGCATGTGCAAGCAACTTGGCTCAGGAATGGTAACGCATAAGCTCTAAGCTTACGATGTTACGTGTTTAACGAATAGACACGGGGTTTGAATAGCTTACTTGATGTGCTGAACACGTATAACTCGTAACTACAGGTAAGTATAACCGTTTCATGGCTCTACATACTTCGCAGTCACTGTCACTACAGCACACAAGGACTTCTATGTCTTCAATAGCCTTTGCTCGATTGGGGTTCCCAGCAATGGACAATCCTCCACTTCGGTGCTCACGTCCTTACTAGATAGTGGCCTGCTCGCAACTGATGCCCCAAATGTCGACTCTTAACTAACTTCAAAGTCATATTAGGACAGATGATCAGTCTTGGTGTCAAGACTCTTTTGGGGTCCAAGGAAAAACTTTTGTTACTGTCAAACAGTTGCGGTTCTGTCGAAGCGGGGCACACTCCCCAACGTGAGGACGAGTCTCTCATTTGTCGCGGTCTTATTCAGCAGTGCACGTCATCTGTATGCACACATTTTGCTTCGTGAGTTTTAATACAGTTTTTGTGATGCCACTATTCTGTGTTCTGACCCTGCCCCACTGAGCTCTGTCATGATCTGCTGAAACACCGCTGCGACTGCTTTGAACATGTCATTCACAGAAGAACTGTTGACATTTGGAGTCGGAATTGACTGCCTTACAACTTGTTGTTGGTTGTGCCTCTAGGGAGGCGGGGCATGCCTGATAAACCGGGGGCGGATGAGGCTGCTGCTGTTGCGGTGTGTTGCTGCCAGGCGCCGCCGGAAGGACAGTGCAGGGGTGGGGGTTTTGGAAGAGAACACCCCTCCTGATGCAGTCCTGGGCGTTGTCTGTGACTTTCTCTTTCTCATCTCTTCCTTGACGTTCCCGCAGCCTCGACAGTTGGAAGGATGAGGTTCCGCTTCGTCCACAAACTTGCAATTGCCCCTTTCCCGGCACTCCTTGTGCAGGTGACCGCCCCCACACCACATACAGCGGGGAGGGTGCTTGCAGATAGCCCAGACATGGCCGAATTTATGGTAGCTGTAACACTGTGACATCAGTCCGGGCTTCGTACGCCTCTGCCCTGATTGCAATATGGCGAAGGCTCGTCAGTCTGAGTATCTGCTGGAACTTTGACGTCCTGGGTAAGGTTATGAGGAAGATGGGAAGGTTTACTGTGGATATTCGTTCTGAAGGCGATCAACGGGTGGCTGACATTTGTTTAACACTAATAACGTCAAAGCCAAGGTCCAACAATTCATCTGAGATGTCCTCTGTAGGAGCGGTGAACGGAAGGTGCCGCATCACAGCCTTTACAGGCTTCTGGGACAGAAGGTGAAGTATGCGAGGCTATTGGTGCCGAAGTGAGAGCGAATGGTTGAAAAATGCGCCACTTATTTCGTGACAACTCTGGTCCCGTTTCTGACGTAACGTAACTCGAAGTTTCCTATAAGTAAGCCTTCCATTTTTCCTTTGAAATTATATCAGGTTTACTTGAGAGGTAAGTACAATAGGAGGCAGCCTACCTGCCTGCCTTGATGGCGCCTGCTGTTGCTGATTCTTGGTGGCTTCGTCCCCGTTCTCTCCGTAGTTAGCCTCAATTTCAGTTGGTCTCAAGGGGGTCAAGAATTTCCGGATGGGAACTTCATCCTTCGACAGCAACTGGTGGCCATTTACTCCAGTGGCAGATATTTCCGGTTTCTTTTTTCTTTTGTCGGCGTCGTCTGAAGGTTTCCGCCTTCATCTTCTCTTCTCACAGAATTCCTCGTTGGATGGAGATTCAGTAGTAATGGTCTTGGTTGTCTTTCCTTTGGCAACGCTCTCTCTGAGGACTTCCGTTAAGTTGTGTAGCATCTTTGTTTACACTCCTTTCAGGGAGCTATATGGCTGCATTCCTTTCAGTAACTGATGGAGAGCCCTCCTGGTCTCCGACATGTTTCTGGCAATTAGATTCAATTTCGGACTTTCGCTGACTGAGACAGAAGTTCATGCCGCTAGGCGGACAATGTCAATGTGTATCCCGCCTACGCGTTCCATAACAGCTTTGGCGTCAGGACGGTGTTGTATGCTATCCCCGAATTCCAGCCTCAGAGATTCAGTCCGGTTTGGCCACAACTTCTGAAATTCTGTGGTGGGTACAATAGTCATGATACGAGTTATTTCTACAACTATAACAGTCAATTATATGCAGAAACCACACAAAGTACTCCAGTCAAAGTCAGCGTCACGTTACCACGGACGGTCAGTCGGCCAGTCAGTCTTGATATCAAGCCCTATCTGGTGTCCAAGACCAGATTTTTATTACTGTTAGCTGTGGTTTTGTTGATGTGGTGCGCCCTCTCTCACGAGAGGACAGGTCGCTCATTTACGGTGATCATAGTCAGTAGTAAATGGTTTTACATGTAACTCTATTATATATGTATGTATATATGTGCAATATTGTAACGGATTTGATCAATGCGTTGCCAGGCAACAGCTCCGTAAACACGGTCCAACACGCAAAAATAGATGATGCTGTGTTTTCTATGCCGTCCAAGCCGCGCCCAGTGCTGCTAATGGACCAATGAACTCGTAGAACGACACGTAACATGTTTTCTGTGTGGTATGCGCCATACAATAATAGAGGATATGTGTTTTCTATGCGTTGTTCGTGCCGAGAGGATTTAAGAAAATACGGCAATGGGGATTGACTGGAAACCGGTGTGGGGTCGCGTCGAATATCTACATCGTGACCTTGCGAGTCGCAGGAGGCGATAAAAAAGGGAAGTCTCAAATCTGAGACAGTAAAATATGGTCACGAGTCACAGGGGACTCGGACCCGAGAAAGACTGCGCTGGCAAGGGTCAGCAGCATAGACAAAAGACAGACCCGTCCTCTCGTCAAAGAGGGCGCCACCACAAAAAACAAGACCGTAACTGTCAAACAGTAATAAATATCTGGTCATGAGCCCCAGATTGGGCTCAACATCAAGATTTACTGACTTACCGACCGTCAGTTGCAATGTGACTTTGACTTTGAAATTGACTGAACTTGAGTTCCGAAGTTCCACGGGAACAGCAGTGTGACCAAACAAGAATTAGAACACTTAGTGTATAACGTTACCTGTGCTGTAGTATATCGATGTTGGAAGTGTGTGAATTAGTGAGGCTTTTACAGTTCCTGTGTTATAAATCAGTTGCTGGGAAACGGATAGTGAAGACTAGTGGAAATAGACTGAGAAGATTAGTGTGGAGTGATTGCGAATTGTGTAAATTAGCAATAGTCTTGTTGATAATTGTAATTAATACATTTTTTCTTTTTCTTTTTTCCTCTTGGCAGTACAGCCCCAGTGGGCCTAGGCCTACCTCCATGAACTTCTCTGTTCACTTCGGTTTTTCTTGATCTTACACATTCGGTAGGACTCCTTGGGCGGGTGATCAATTCGTCGCAAACACAGAAAAACGCACATACACAAACTAAACATCCATGCCCTGAGTGGGATTCGAACCCACGATCCCGGCTTCCGAGCGAGCGAAGACAGTACATGCCTTAGACCGCTCGGCTACCGTGACCGGCAATTAATACATATAGTGGTTAATAAATCCAATTACAAATCCTAACACCGTCTTTAGTTACTGATACACGTGACAATACATACAAAGCCTCTGTCGGTCTAGGCTTTGCGCAGAAAATCATGTCCTAACTCATGTAGCTCTTGTTACAACAGCTGCCTAGACACGTGAACGGCCGTACGCTTGACCACCACCAAGTTTAAGCCTACCTTCACACATTTTCTGTGTCGAGTTCCGCATTTTTCGATGTCGAGAACATTTGCATTTTCATGGCCTTGTATTCACGTCAGATTACTCACACCTCAAGTCTGCTCCTGTCAAGTACCCATTGACGTACTGCACAGAACTTCCGGAAGTGGCCGGTGCTCATACAGCGCCAGTACTTAAGATGCAGATTCGACCGCCTCTGTGGTCTAGTGGTCAGAGTTCCTGGCTACAGATCCAGAGGTCCCGGGTTGGATTCCCGGGGCAACCAGATTTTCTGAGAAGTAGTGGGTCTGGACGAGGTCCACTCAGCCACGTGAGGATAATTTAGGAGCTATTTTAAGGAAATAGCGGCATCGGTCTAGAAACCCGAGATTAACGAACGTGGGGATCCGTTGCGCTGATCACCTCACACCCTCTATCCGCAAAAGTTGGCACCAACTTCGCCGACAAGCGGTGGTCGCTCGGTCAGTATAGTTCGCTGGCGGACTACAGGCCACGGAGTTTTCTGGAGTCTCTTCTTTCTTTTTGGAGGGAAACAACTTTTCCACAGTGCCCTATCACTAGTTTTCTGGAGCCTGACGGAGAACACTGCTGCTAGCTTTACGACTTCCAGCACCAAGGTCTGCTTAAGGGCCTCTTTGAGTGTCCTCTTGTCATCCAGAAGTAGCTGCTGTTCTGTGCCTCAGTCTCTTATTTCGTTACCAAATGCCACGTGGTCCTTGTGTAGTGCCGGAGAGGCATGATGGACCACTTTTTCATTGGCGGTGGCTTACAAATAAACGAGTGTATATCCCTGCACAATTTCGTGACTTGTAATAAAGTATTCATGTGATACGACTGAGGAAAATAACGAAAGAGCATGGATGTGGAATGTTTCTCACCGGAGCCCTTGATGTGAACTAGTAATCGAACCGTTCTCTACCTTCAGCTGAAAGGAAATGAGCCCATAACGGAAAGTATTGCTTCCAGAATAACAATTATTCGTGTTACAAATAATGTATTTTATTTAAATTATTTATTATAAAAACACAAAACAATTAAACATACCATTAGCAATCACGATCGAAGCCTTCATCTTTCAAACCGAGTGTGTCGAATGTAACAGCTAAAAAGAATGAAGAACAATCAGCAACAGTTGTGCTGTGATCTCTTTGTACCAGCAAATTAAATTGTCCTGTGTCAGTTACGTCAGCGATGTGAATGAAAGTGTGGAGTACAGAGAACATCATGCTGAATTAACTGTAGCTGAATTAAAGTACTTTGATATATATAAAAGGAGACAAACTCTACAAGATCAGCAGTTCCAATACACTTATTGGTGAATCAACTCCTGCTGTGTTATCTCATTGCAAGTCTTAGATCATGGCTACATTACAGGTAAACATTTGTAACCTCCTTTACAATCTAATTATAATACAATCCTCGTCAGCACAAACGTTCCCCAGTCCAGCGAGTGTGCTGTATATTTTCTTCAGTTTACTTTCTGCTAACTGTTTCAGTTATGTGTCTGGGGTGTATAAATTAGTTCTTTTATCTTACAGAAGGACAATCCTTTGTGATGTGCTACGTAAATATTTGGCTGTATGGGCATGAACAAGGTCACGCAGGCCATTGAAAGAACGGAAAGTAATAGTGAAGGAGACATACTTGGGAGGAAGAGTAGATCTATAGTTGTAGTTTCTTTTATTTTGAGTTTTCAGGGCAGTGGTTAGTAGATTCGTAAGATTTTGGAACCAGTGACCTAGACGTATATGACAATTTATTATTTATGGGCTTTGCGTCATCCAGAGATTAGGCGGGCGGCTGTGAAAAACAGCACAGTGTAAAGAGCATTTGTTTTAATCTGTCTGACACTTGTCATAACCATACATATATTCACTTTTATACAAACTCAACATCCTCTTTTATTCATCTTGAAAACTCCAGACTCTTGCAGCACTAACAATCCTGGCTGTTGGATGGAAGATTGCAAATGTGGGAGGTCAGCATGGAGGTGGTCACGCGCTTTCGTTTGCCCATTTCCAGGGTCCAGTAGTTGGACCTGATAAACTAATCGTGGTTAGCGGCGGTCACGGAGGCGGCGAATCCGGAGGGGGAGGACATGGAAGCGGTGGACAAGGAGGCGGTAGACATGTAGCTGGAAGTGACCACGTCGATTACGTGGTATTGGACTTCATATAGTTAATCCTACAAACTGAATTTCTTTAGTATGTTGTTGAGTAGGTCCAAGAAAACCCACTCCTCCTTAACACAGCGAGTGTCTTACGTGTCTCAAGAATGAGAAGTGTATATACCTTGTAATACACTCTCATGTCGTAAGTAGTAGCAATGCATTAAAGGTCATACGTAAAATTTAATTTTAAAGCAATTATATTACTTTGTTTTCTACAAACTATATTCCACTGCGCCGGTCACGGTAGCCGAGCGGTCTAAGGCGTGCACTGTCTTCGCTCGCTCGGAAACCGGGATCGTGGGTTCGAATCCCACTCAGGGCATGGATGTTTCTGTGGTTTTTCTGTGTTTGTGTACGACAAGAGGCCTTGCGACGAGCTGATCACCCGCCCAAAGAGTCCTACCGAATGTGTAAGATCAAGAAAAAGCGAAGTGAACGGAGAAGTTCATGGAGGTAGGCCTAGGCCCACTGGGGTTATAGTGCCAAGGGAAAAAAATAATTATTCCACTGCAAGTGTCTAATGACAAATCAAAGTAGTGTAAAAACATTCAATGACGCGATTTATTGCATAAAGCCATTGACACATATATAGTACGAATGTTAGTCCGCGTCAATTAGAAATACAATATAAGGTGTACGGACTCTTAGTGAATAAGTAGTTCTGCATGTCAATACTTCTTAAATTACAGATTCAGATTATAAATATAAATTACGAAACGAATAGTAATAAGCTAGGGTCTAAATCATATTTCCTGATCTTTACCAATAACGGTTATAGATAAATCGACATGCTCTTGGCACTGAAGAAGTCTACAGAAACAAAAATTTATTTTTAGAAACTTTAGCATTAGTTGTTCTATATATATACGAATATTATTAATACTATTATTATTTCTACTGTTAATGTTCTCTTTTCTTCAGGGACATCCCAAATATGACTTTTCGTACGGAGTTGTGGATCACAAAACCGGAGATATTCACGGGCAGAAGGAAATGCGCGATGGACACGACGTGGTTGGAGAATACACCGTCAGGGAACCTGGGGGTAACATGAGAACTGTCAAATACTATTCTGACAAGGATGGTTTCCACGCTGATGTGCATAACAGCAACGGAAATAACCATTCTGGAGGCGGCCACGGAGGACAAGGTGGGGGTGGCGGTGGCGGTGGCCATGGAGGGCATGAGGGTGGTCACGGTAGCCCTAGCAGTTATGCTGAGCTTCATGAAGATGATTATTAAAGCTGCTGTTTTGTGTTTTGCTGGTGTCCTTTTATTTTGGCATTCACTGGAGCTTCAATTGTTTTTAATAAAATATTCCATATTAAGAACGACAAATTATGACGCAAATCTGTACTCATTTAACTTTTGTACTCTGTCTCATTTCGCTTACGAGCAACTATGTCTGTTTAACAAGTTATAAAGCATAAAAGGGTTCGTTGCTTCTTGATGTATAAACGTTGTAGACATATTGATATTGTAAAAAAAAATAAAGACTTTGTTTAATGTACACTTTATAAGCATATCCATGAATTCGTATGACTGTACTTATTTGGGGGCGGAGTCACAGGATTACTTCATAATCAGATTCTGAAAAACTGATTAAACTTCATAAATTATATTTTAAACGTTTACAAAGCGTAAAAAATGCCCGAATTGTAAATTTTAAAGTATAGCATCGCTTAATTGTCGTTGTATTTCACACATATCTTCAAAAACTCGCTTCAAATTAGGATGAGAATTGTGACGTAGGACAGAAAGGCAAAAACTTTTGCAAATATTAATCAGCAAGGCGATTTCAGCAAAATCGTTCTATGAAACAACAGCTTCGTTTTATTGGCATCCATTTTGTAGATACTGACGTAAAAGAGCGCAACAAAGTTCCGCGCAACGTGAAGCACGATAATAAAGATTTTGAAAAAAAAAATGACACACTTTTTATGGCAGTAGCATTGTGACCGCGCAGAGAATGGAAATTGGAAATATTTAGAAATGGAGTAGGGATAGTTGTATGAATATATGAGATGAACGGGGTAAAGAACATAAAAACCAGCATAACAAGAATTTATTCATCTGTAACTTTAAGTCGACCTTTTGCATCGTAGATCAAGCAAGTTACGATGGAATGACTTTGCAATAGGCCGCCCACTCACTGCTACACAAAGGAAAGAAGAATATTATGGGAACAGGTTTCCTAAGCAGATCAGCTTTACCTGACTCGGATATTTGCCCTTACAGTCCACTGCTTGAACAGAACATTTGGCATGGACCTTGAAATTTGCAGATTGCATTGCACAGTTTGCTTTTGTATATTCTGACATAATTTTCTATTTTGGAAGACGTGCTTCCCCCAGAGGAAGAGCTGGTAGACAGTCTGAAACGTTATTAACTAACTCTGTTCGTATTCCTTTCTGAGAAGCTAACAGTGGTCCAATTTGTCAAAAAATTCTGCGTCTTTTATGGAACCTGACGAATCATTATCGTTTCCATAAAAACCCTCTCCAAGATTCCATCATGAGACAGGTAAATCCAATGCACGTCTTCACACTCTGATATGTAAAAGTAAAGTAAAGCTATCCCTGCAACAGGCCGTGGAGGCCCATAGGGTTGTGAGATGTTGAGGTTCCCACATTTTCTAGACAATCGGCTAACAGATGGCGGCAAGGCTGTCAGCCTTACGCGCCGGCCGCCCTTTACCCCCAAGGAGCTATTTCAAGGAAATAGCGGCTCCGGTCTACAAAACCGAAATTAACGGCCGTGGGGATTCGTTGTGCTGACCACCGGACATCCTCTATCTGCTAAAGTTGGCACTAACTTCGCCGGCAAGCGGCGGTCGTTCGGTCGGTATAGTTCGCTTGCGGACTCAAGTCACAGAGTTTGTTTTTATTACTCCATGTTCAATTTATTTATTTATTGTAATGACGCTTTCAATTTCTGAGATTAAGTTATATGGCCCGTTGCGTCGAATGATAAATTTATGAATGAAAATTAATTGGAAAGGCCGTGGAAGCAAGCAATCATGTCCCAATTTGAAGTATTATCTCGGTATTTTCCTGGAAGGACTGAGGAAGACCATAGCAATCGTCAGTCCGCATAGTCTGTCACCAAGCCGAGATTTCAACACGGGTCATGCAGAATAAGAAGCAGGAGTGTCACCCTTCTACCACGACATCTGGTGTTTCAAGTTCAACATGCACTTTTGGATAACATAGCTGAATGAATGTTGCAATATTAAAGTTATAAACAATTATTAAAGAGCGATGTGTTACAAATTCCCCATGTTAACTGCTCAGAAATACTGTATTTAAACACATTATTAAGCGTTTGAAAGACCATAGAGGGGTTTTGGATTTGTGAATTTATTGAACGGTTTTACAGCTCGTGACTACACTTCACAGCTCATCACATACAGACTAGTGTTCTCGGTCACGTTGCTTGGTAGCGGCTTCAACCGTGGACATTCCTCTGCTTCCAGGCTGACGGCCTTGCAGGGTGGCAAACAACTCATGCCAACCTTAAACTCTGACCGCTGGCTTCAGCCAGTACTTCCTTCAGCTGCTCGCTTCCTGGCTGTACTGACTTCCAGCTGCCAACCTCAAACTTCAGTTGTCATATTTTCGACTGGCTTCCAACTGCCTAAGTCTGAGTCTACGACCGACGGTCAGTCGGCCAGTCTGTCTTGGAACAAAGCATCCATCTCGGGCTTACGACCAGATTAATATTACGTCAGACAGTTGCGGGTTTGTTGATGTGGAACGTTCTCTCTGATGAGAGGACGGGTCTGTCGTTTATAATTGCTTCTGGCTCTCGCCAACGCAGTCATTCTTGGGCCTGAGTCCCGTGGGACTCGTCACCATATTTTACTGTCTCAGATTAGAGAATTCCATTTTCGTAGCCTCCTAAGACTCGCAGGGCTATGGTGGAAGTATTCAACCCCGCCTCCACGCGGGAATTCAACTTCCGCACCAGACTGACTTTACGTAGCTTCGTCGCGGATCGCATAGAAAATACCACATCCAACAGTTCCTACACTGTTGCCTGCGTACGTTGCTTATTGACTGTTCTTTTATTGTAGCGTACTTACGGAGTCGCTACCTAGCAATGGCCGTTTCCCTGGTTCCCTTATTCTAGCTGTGAGGCGTTACGTCAAAATATGTTAAGCATGTTTCTTAGTAATTATAAGTAAGAAATTAGGCAGGGAAGTACCTGCATGAGACTGCCTCTGTAGTCTAGTGGTCAGCGTTCCTGGCTACAGATCCAGAGGTCCGGGTTCGATTCCCAGCACTACAAGATATTTTTCGGAGAAGTAGTGGGTCTGTAACGGGGTAGACTCAGCCTCGTGATGATAATTGAGAAGCTATTCAGAGGAAATAACGGCTCCGGTCTAGAAAACCGAGATTAACGGCCGTGGGGATTTGTTGCGCTAACCACGCGACACCCTCTATCCGCAAAAGTTGGCACTAAACTTCGCCAACAAGCGGTGGTTCCTCGGTCGGTATGGTTCGCTTGCGGACTGAAATCACGGAGGTTTTTTTTTATCGCTAGTGGGGTGGTACTAAGTCCCTTGTACTGCGGCCACTTCTGGCCTATTGTACCAGCCCCAGATGATGTGAGGGTGATTGTGGAGCAATTGGTGGAATGAAGATTGGCAGGGGAAACCGAAGTACTCGGAGAAAACCTGCCCCAGAGCCACTTTGTCCACCACAAATCCCACTTGACCAGACCCGGGATCGAACCCGGGCCGCCGCGGTGGGAAGCCAGCGACTAATCGTTTGAGCTATGGCGCGGCCTAAAATCACGGAGTTAGATTAGATTAGTTAGTACGTGCATGAACTGGGTGAACGGACAAAAGTTTCTGCAGTGAATGGTGTGGAGCATTTCCAGAATTTACACTGAAATATCTCCCAGTGCTGAAGGGTTATAAGGAACCTGGAGGTTAAGCTCAAAATATTTTTTGTCTCGGAGACAGATGGACTTGGCTGACGGCTTTCAGAATCTGGCCCTCTTTATTCCAACAGAAACAGCTCCAGTGGTCCATGAATAATGACGCGCGTGGTTTTGAAGAAAGAATTTTATTGACCGAACTGGGAATCAAACCCCTGCCGTCTAGTTATGCAAAAACTATAATGGATAATATATTATAATTAAGACGAAGTCATAATAACGTTATAATTACCAACAAATATAAACAATGAGTTGCAAATACAGAAACATTTTTCGACAAAGAATTTCATTTTATTTCGAGCTAATCGATGGTGGCAGTGATGCTTTAGACTTGTAATCAGACGATAACCGGTTCGAATCTCGTGTGAACCACCTGTTATCCTTATTGTGGTGTTATATCAGTCGATCCAGGCGAATGCTAGGATAGCACAATGCATTTTATAGGCAGCTACGAAACCATAGTTGACGGGAGAAGCTTCCCATTCTTCCGTTTGAGCTCGTGCTCCTCCGCCCAAGAAAATAACTCCAGGCAATGCCAGAAGCTTCCCTATTCCTGCATATTCATCAACCGAATCGTCTTCATCGCTAAAGCTGTGTGACGTGTTTACCTGACACATCGTCTTCAATGTTGATAACATACGCACAATGGAAAGTCTTGTGAAATTTTAGGTCTTCACACGGGATGAAATTTTGGATGCAGTTATCTGGGATGATACCGTGTAGTCCGGTATGTACAGTAGTGAATTCTTATTTGAGGCTTATTTAACTATTCCATCAGTAATTCAGAATATATATAGTCTAATGATTGAATGAGAGTGAATATTTAATTGGAAATAATTCAGAAAGATTCAGTCGTGTTTTAACTCAAGATACTATCCCAGAATTTTACTGGAGGGACTGAGGAAAGAACCTTAGTCTCGATAGTCGAGTTTCGAACGAGAAATTTCTTGAATATGTCAGAATTACTTCAGTTAACTCGTTCGGTGACATACTAGAAAAACTATTACTTTGAGAATGGAGGCAGCATGTTCCTCCGAAACGGTCAAAACTCACTCCAAGGTCACGATCCAAACCAACCGCAGTTTCTTGCCTGAAAATCGGGCAAGGCACATCTCGTTTTTGGAAAACGTTGCTATGGATTGTGTTTCCCGGAAATAATAGTTTAGCTTCTCAAGCCTATACAGAACTTGGTACCGGCCACGAAATTGATTCATGTGTTATTTACTATGCGCTTATTAAAGCATCCAGTCACCAAATTATTTTTAATTTGTACAGTAGAAAGCTTAAACGGTCTGTAATGCGCTTTCTGTTATTTTTCGTTGGCTTGATTGGACTGGGTAGGGAGACAAAGAGACCAAACTCAGTGCAACGGCCAGTATGTTAGTGTGGAAGTGTAGCGCTTGCAGGGTGTAGCCTAATTGCATTTTTCACGGAACAGTTGGCATGCTTGTGTCCCAGTGAATTCGACAGTGGATAGAGCATGTAGTTGTACCCGTGGTAAAAAACTGCGACATAGTTTCGTGTCTCGCATTCCTGTAAAGCAGCTGTGACGATATATGAGTAAAAATATGCCTATTGCGGAAATTCTACTGCCTATGACTATGCAAATTGCTGCTGTAATGTATAAGTAGTAAGGGAGAAATTCTTTTATTAGGTTCTGCATCATTTGTACCACGAGGTCCTGGATTATTTTCCCTCTCATGACGTCATGAATATAGGCAATCAGTTTCTAAAACAGAATATGCAATGCAGCAAATTAGCCAATACTGTTAAATAATTTTAGTATAAAAGGAACTCATAAGGTGTGAGAGATCAACAGTTCTCCATTGGATATCACTTAGTGATCAAGTAGCCACCACTAACAGCTTATCTGATTCAACATGGCATATTTCAAGGTAAAGTTATTAATACAAGTAATAAATTGATGCTGCATAGCAGAGAGCATATAAAATTGAATAACTATATTTTCTCCTTATATTATATTAAAGTGGCTTTAAATTGATTAGTAATTATAGTATGATAAAGCCCTATTAATTAATATAAGTCTATAATATTTAAGAAAGAACATAAAATTCTGAGAAGAATATTTGGTTAAAGATAGGACGTATCAGTTCGATAGAAAACTTCTATGATGCAGAGCTTCATAAATTTTATTGTATATCGAATAATATCAGGCTGCTCAAATCAAAGAATATGGAATAAGTGGACGTGTAGAATGAATGGAAGCGTTGAGAAATGCATACAAATTTTGATCTGAAGATTTGAATAGAATCGAAAATTTGGAATACCATGGCCTAGATGGGACAAAAAGTAAAAAAGGTAAAGCTGTCCCTGCGCTTAACTAGTTAAACACTATGCCATGAAGACGTATGGAAGAGAGGATATATAGATGCACATTTTCTTGACCTCGGCACTAGCTGGATGAGAGTGGTCAGCTTCACGCCCCGGCCGATTTATCTCCAGGAAAAGAGCACCCGTACCCATTGGATAGGAGGTTGGGTGGACCCAGAGCCGGCCTAGACGACGTGGAGAAGAGAAAATTATTGACGCTACCGGGACTCGAAATGCGATCCCTGGGTTATCCAGCCCGTAGCCAGTCGCTATACCGACTACGCTATCCCGGGTCCTGGCCCAGATGAGATAGTCATATTAAAATGGATCTTAAGAAACAGGACGGCAAAATGCAAACTGAATTCAACTGACTCAGACGGCGGACTTTTGTGAGCACGGTAATGAACCTTCGGGTTCTAACAAAAGGCACAAATTTTCTCAGCTAGCTGAAGGACTGCAGTGTTTTATCAGACCCGAGTTCACACGGGGGTGACTATGAAGGTTACTGTCTTCTGGGTTGCGACACCGTATAGTCTGGTAGATATTTATCGATGATTCGGAGTAGAAGCTTATTTTACCCTGAAGAGAGAGGCTGCACGTTTCTCCGAAAAGTGGCGAAGTATCTTTTAGCCTCACAGCGTTATTTCACAAATAACAGATATTCAATATAGCATTAGATTTTCAAGGAGAAGTTTGGGTCGTGGTGTTAATTACGTTGAGTTCATTTAATCGCATTTTGTGACGGATACCTCGTACCATTCATTAATTCACATCGGGCGAATTTACAGTAATTCGGAGTCTACGAAATGTTTCTAGACCGCCCGTTTTCACAGCCTATTTTAATCGGGTATTCATTCAATAAATAATATATAAATTTCAGTTCCTACCTCTTAATATGGGGCATTCCATAAACAAAATAAGAGCATTACTTGCCTCTGTTTGCAGTTCAGCGTACTGTATATTTATTGCCGACTGATATTTCACAACGACGTTAACAAATATACAATTTATACAGCACACATTGAGACAAAAAGATGGTTATGAATGGTAAACTGAAAACAATTTGGCAGGACGTGGTCTTCAGTTAATTCACAAAATCCTCTGCGGATAGTTGGGGCACGCGGTAGCGTAGTTGATTGAGGCATTATGCTACAAGCCGGAAGGTCGTGGGTTCGATTCTCAATTAGGCAGTTGGATTTTGCAGTTGACCTAATCCTTCCAGCCGCAATATAGCCCTGGAGCCGACTCAGCCTCTAAGAGCAATGAGTACCAGAAATCTTCCTGGGTGTAAAGGGCGGCCGGCTTGTAGGGCTGACAACCTCACCGTCACCTGTGAGCCGATTGTCTAGAAAATGTGGGAGCCTCGACGTCTCACAGCATTATCGGCCTTCACGGACTCTTACAGGGATAGCTTTAGCTGAGGATAGTCGGAAATTCGGCCGAGGCCTGAACACAAATCTACTGCGGCACAACTACACTTCCCTCTACATTTTGTATGAACTTCTCATTTCTCCCACAATAGCCATACACTCTGCCCACCTCAATCTATTTGATCTGATCGCCTTAACAACATTCTGTGGACACTATAAGCGTAATGACCTTTCTCATAATGCAATTTTGTCCATCCTTCTGTTATTATCTCACGGGTCCGAATATTATTCTCTTCACGCCCTTCCGAAAAATAAAGTGGTCACTGTGATTATCACGATGCGAAGATATATGGGGCAGAGAGCTATCTCCTTACTTGACTGAGGAGAGTGGTCAGTTTCTTAAGTCTGATACTGCATCCCAGACTCGCAATGGATAAGAGTCAGGGAGGGCTCCAGAGAGGTTTTGTATACTGCGAAGAACAGAAACTTTAATTTTCCCTAACGGGAACAGAGCACCTGATTCTTCGGTCGTTCGCTCCGTACCCCAGTTGCCATAACGACCAAAATATGAGTATGAGGACACTGTATACTATTCCACCATGAATTGTTACAGATGATAGTAGTCGTTGCTTTAGTAGCCGCTGTATGGCAATACGCTAGCGCTGGAGGACATCATGGAGGTGGACATGGCCATGCCCATTCGTTTGCCCACTTCCATGGCCCAGTTGTGGGACCAGGAGAGCCAGTCCATGTTGGCCATGGTCACGGCCATGGACACGCCATCGACTATGTTGTAAGTACAACTGCGCTACCTTACTTATTATTCATATGTAAATCACCTTGGTCACACATACAAGAAGACACACTCTAGAACCTATAGTAACACTCTAGAACCGTTTGTCAAAGCTCCAAAGATTTTATCTTGCGTCTTTTATACAAATATTCTTAGTAAATAAAGTCTCGAATATTATATAAGCATTTCTGTGTATGTTAAAAAAACAGAACTATAATTGGCGCTAGCAAGATGGTTTGTCTATAAGTAAACACAGAGAAAACCAAGTACATGTTGGTGCTTCGTCACCAGAATGTAAGGTAAAATCATAACATAAAGACAGGTAATAGATCCTTTGAAAATATGGCACAGTTCAAATATTTAGGAATGACAGTAACAAATCAAAATTTGATTCAGGAATAATTTAAGAGGAGACTGAATTCGGGTAATGCTTGGTACCATTCGGTCCAGAACCTTTTGTCTACTCGTCTGCTGTCTAAAAACGTAAAGTTAAAAAAATATATAATTTTACCTCTGGTTACGTATGGGTGTGAAAATTGGTCTGTGACATTAAGGGAGAAACAGACTGAGTATGCTGAGGAGAATATTTGGACCGAAGAAAAATAAAGTAACAGGAGACTGGAGAAAACTGCATAATGAGGAGTTTCCTAACTTGTACTCTTCGCCAAGTATAACTAAAATGACAAATTCAAGAAGGACGAGATGAGCAGGGCATGTAGCACGAATAGGAGAGAACACTAGGAAGACCTAGACGTAGGGTGGATAATGTTAAAATGGATCTTAGAAAAATAGGCTGAGGTGGTATGAACTGGACTGATCTGGCACAGGATAGGGACCAGTGGAGGTCTCTTGTGATACGGTAATAAATTTCGGGATTCCATAAAATGTCGGAAATTTTTTGAGTGGCTGCGCAACTGGCTGCTTCTCAAGAAGGGCTCAGCTCCATGAGAGTTACTTAGTTCGTATGTATACATTTGTTTGAGTTCACAAGGGACGTAATGCTTAGTATGGCTGCTACCTTTCACTGCTGATCCCCTCTAATGGCATGTTTTGAGCGAAATTGAGCTGAATTGTCAAGGAGAAAGATGAAGGACAGAGATGAAGGCAAGCTGAACAAATAAAGGAAATGGGAACTGAATATGGGAGAATGGGGAAGGAGATAAAGCTATGACAGCCAAAAAGAACCGAGAAAATGGGGCAGGGGACACTGAAGGATTTCCTCGGGGAACTATAACTCGGCATGCTTTCAGCCAGACGGTTGGACATCATGAGAATTTTTCGTAGTTTACTCCAGTACATTTAGAAACGATTAGTGAATAATACGAAGCTCCTTTTGCCTCCTACTCTTAGTTTCAAATATTTCCCTCAGAACTCTGCTTTCAAGTAAGTTTCACTTTCATACAAAACGGCCAAACAAGTAACATGAGGTAAAACCAGAAATAAATGAAAATTTTTAGTTTAAATATTAAGTGGAAATGAGCAATTTGTGAGACCGAGGCGAAAACTAAGGAATCAAAATAAATTTGAGAAGTAATTAGAAACACTGAACTCAGGTCAAAGTCGTGTATTATGGTCCCTCAAATCAACTGCTACATATAGAATGTCTTCATCATTAGGCCCACCCTAAGTACGATTATGCGTACGGCGTCACCGACCACAAGACTGGAGACTCACACGGACAAAAGGAATCCCGTGATGGTCACAAGGTTGTGGGTGAGTACTCCCTGAAGGAGCCCGGCGGTAACATCAGGACCGTCAAGTATTTTGCCGATAAGGACGGCTTCCACGCCCACGTCATCAACAGCAATGGCAATGACCACTCCGGAGCTCATCACGGACAAGGCTACTAAGTCACGCAACGTCAGCTGTTCGCCCGAAATCCTTTTTATCCACCAGTGCTCGGACTTCATACAAATGCCGTCACATTTCTGTTCTTTTGATTGTCGTTTTATGACAGTACTTCTTTCACTTCTAGAACTATGCTGTAATTGTTATTAACACTCGAACTATATGACTGTATTGTGTAAACGAACATTTTTTAGTTGCTGTTGTTGTACATAGCATTTACGCACATGTTGACTGTTTCTGCAAATGCTTGAACGTATTTATTCCAATTTTCTTATGTTTTTATACGTCAGTGTTTCGAATGTAAATAAAGTTTTACCTGTTACAGTAACTATTCACAGCGTGTCACTTTCTTTCCTCCGTTATGCTATCTTTACGTTTCCTAAACAAGAGTTAAAACCTGAGAGCACACTCCAATTAAAAACATATTTTTCCATACCGTACAATCCAGCCTTTTGGCACAAGTGGTAAATCTACTGACTTATGTTCGGAAGGTGTCTGGTTCCAATATCGGTGGGGAAAAAGGAATGTTCTGGCTGAGACTTCAGAGGTTTTTCTCAGTCCCTCCAGGCTTATGCCAGGATATTACTTCAAATTAGGTTACGAACGTTTCCTTCCATGTCCTCATTTCATTATTCATGAAATCATCCTATCAATCGATACTATATATCCTGAGATTCTAACAGTGTTGTTAAACAAAACACAAGCGGAATTGCACACACCTCGCTGGATTTCATGTTCATTCATTGCCGATACAGATCTTATGCCGAGATGGCGTTTATTTCGTCTTCACATCACAAATTGCGCATCTCACTGTTTTAACTCTTGTACATAATTAACTTCTTTTCTTCCGTAACCCACTATTTTTGTACTTTAGTTGCTACTGTAATACGCATTCAACTTCCGCCTAATTTTTACGAGACATGAGCGTGTACTTTGAAGACCGCCTCTGTGGTTTAATGGTCAGAGTTCCTGACTACAGACCAAGAGGTCCGGGTTCAATTCCCGACGGTACCAGATCTTCTGAGAAGTAGTGGGTCTCAGCCTCGTGAGGATATTTGAGGAGATATTTCAAGGAAATAGAAGCTCCGGTCTAGAAAGTCGAGATAATCGGCCGTGGGTATTCGTTGCGTTAACCATGTGACACCCTCTATCCGCTAAAGTTGACACTAACTTAGCCGACAATCGGCGGTCGCTCGGTCGGTATAGTTCGCTTGCGGACTAAAGCCACCGAGTTTTTTTAACGTTGATATCTAAATTCGATTTCTTACACAAAGACATATATAAGGGACATATTAATACAATTGCACAAACAAAACGCAAAATTAAGTTAATGTCTTTATAATCAGGAAACCCCATTTTGTTACAATTCTTCAATTTGTTTCTAATTGTTGTGCCATAAGAATTATTGTTGAAAAATATTTATTTCGAAATGGCAGACACAAAACACCAGCTGGATGAACCAAAGGACGAAGATACAGAGAGCCTGTGAACAAACTGGAACTCGCATCGTAAACTAGGAGAGAAATTTATTAATATCTCAAATTTGTCCATGTCCATCGTTCTTATGTTGACCTTGCACTTTCAAGGGTAACGTTCTCACCGCTAACATCTCGATTAGCAACTTTCTGTTTTCTTCTTCCGTCCCGCATGAGTGAATGCCAAACCACAGTGGCTCAACCGCAGCCCTAACATCCATAGCAAAGGAATCGATCCTGAAAAACTGAGGCCACAAACCGTAATAAATGTGGCCGCAACAAAGGAGAAGCCACAATAGCTCAGTCATAACACGGTGGCTACTGTACGCTCAGGGCTACTGCAGTTCGATTCTCTAGAGGGGTAGCAATGTCTTCCCTATCCCATGCGTGCAGACCGGCTCTGGGTTCGAAAGGGTCCTAAGGGTTCCATCTTCGACGGTAAAACGGCTGAAGCATTAAGCTACCAGTCACCACTGCACAGTGCCGAAGTCAAGAATAAGTGGCGCTATGCCTCCATTCCCCATACGTCTTCATGGCGTGAAGCTTAATTAAGCACAGACATGACTTTATTTAAACGTCTATGTATTTAGTCCGTCAATAATGCATCAATCATTAAAATATTCACTATTCACACCAACACGTTTAATTAAAGATGTGCACCAGGATGCTGAAATATAGAATGACTTTATTTGCCTTTTCCGCTATGCCAGGAAACGGTCATGGTAAAGTTCGCGGTAAAAAAAAAAAAGCAGCGAAGAGACAGGAAATGACGTAAGGATGGTCGTCTGCAAACCACGCCTCTGTTTGAGGACAGTCTCCTGGTCCGGTCGTCTGCACTTTACCGCCTTACAGGCTGCTTCACTGCTCGACATGCTTGCTGTTCCCGTCAAGAGGAGCACGTAAGTAAAGTTGTCCCTGTGCTTGACTAATTTTTTTTTGTATCTCCAAATATTTGTACAATCAGTCCATAAGTACATCTTGTGTGAGACTTAATCTGAATCTTAAATACTAAGTGAGAACATGTCGGGGAGAGTAATGCTCCAGTGAGCATTCTCTACGGATCTATTTCGGGTGTGACTTTGTTATTTTGTGTATTGCATTTATATGAAGCGCGTCGTTAGGTCGTTTGGTTTATGCCTTTTCAGTCTTCTGGGCTCGTCTGCATCGTTTAGTAGTGTGGTTGCCAGTTCATTTGGATGTGCCATTATCTTGTGTTTGTATTTACGGCTGATGTTTGTGGTTTCTTCCCGTACTGTGGATATGCCTAGATCGGCACGTAGCAATCTCTCTGGGACGTACCGCGGTGCATTGCCTATAGCGCGAAGTACTTGACTAATTAAGCACTGCGCCATAAAGACGTATGGGGGAGTGGATGTATAGATCCAAGTTTCTTGACCTCGGAGCTAGTTGGAGGTGAGTGGTCAGCTTCACGCCCCGGCCGCCTTACCCCTAAGGAAAGAACCACTGGCACGCACTTGGATATGAGGCTGGGTGGGCACCAGAGCCGGTCTGAATGACATGGAGAAGTGAAAATTATTGCCCCCATCGGGACTAGAACTCCGACCCCTCTGTCGTCCAGCTGTAAGCACTATACAGTAATGAATGTATAAGGGGTGGGCCTTCTCGGCCCTTGCACCGCGACCTACAGTGATCTATACAGTAAAGTAAAACTGTCCCTGTGCCCAATTTACTAAGTGTACGGGAGTGGAGACATTGATCCACGTACTCTTAACCTCGGCGCTAGGCGGACGCCTCACCCTCGTAGAAAGAGCCCTTGTACCCATCCCTTCTCCCTGGGTTCACCATTTAGTAACACTACCAGTATCGAGGGAATACGGCAGCGATAACACATGTTAATTTGTGTAGCGCAGTTGATGGAATGAGAACAGGCACGGGTTACCGAAGTACTCCGAGAAAACCCACTCAAATGCCTCTCTGTCCACAACATATCTCATACGATCTGGCCTGGTATCGAATCCGGACCGCTGCGGTGGGAAGACCCACACGACTAGACTGGGAAGCAGAACCGATCTGGACGTTGTGTAGGAGAAAGGAATATTTTGCCTCTGCCGGGAAATGAACCCTTATTCGTCGGCCGTGGCTTCACTGTAACGACTGCTCCGACGAGTAGCATGTAAGTACAGCACATTGCTTTAGATGTTTCCATCTGTATGATCTATGTCCCCTTTATTTTAGCTCTTGTCAACGGTTTGGTGTGACGTGAAGGCGGCAAACAGAAGAATACTGGTCAACGGTTATAGCAAATTAATAACGCTGTCATAACAATTAAGCTATTCTGGTATATTGTATTAAAAAAACTAGGGTGAAGAATGGGCCCTTTGCTAATTTATATGAAAAAGTCCCGTTAGTATAAAAATATCAGAGTTTCCCAAAGATTTGATACACAGTTTGTAACTACGTTTGAAATTTATCATTACCTTTAATTTCATTAATTTCCCGAAGTTGTTTGCCTGCTTATCAAGGCGCGGGGAGGCAGATAGAAAATGTGCATATAAACTTACGTTGAAGTCATTTCAGACTAATTTCACTGGTCGCCCTGGAGGAGGACAGGAGAACATTAATTTCAAATGTTTTATTTTTATTAACGTGTAAAAGTAAAGGTAAAGATATCCCTGTAACAGGCAGTGAAGGCCCTTAGGGTAGTTAGAGGTTGAGGCTCCCACATCTTCTAAGACATTCGGCTCACAGATGGACGTAAGGTTGTCAGCCTTACGCGCCGGCCGCCTTTTACCCCCCAGGAAGATTCCTTGTACTCATTTCTGTTAGAGGCTGAGTCGACCCCAGGGTCATAGTTCTGCTAGAAGGATTAGGTCAATTGAAAAGCTCCACCTCATCGGGACTCGAACCCGCGACCTTCCGACTTATAGTATAGTGCTTCAACCAACTACGCCACCGCGTGCCCCTTTATTAACGTGTGGTACCGGTAATTTTCCTCTTTTCATCAATTTGATTTTTTACAAAGAATCCTGCGGGGAGGTACGCGCTTGGCTTACCTCCCCCTAACAATACTCATGAGCGCGTGACATTTCTGGATCCTATATTGAATGGTTGTTGTCTAGTTCCCACCTCAGAGGTTCGTACAATCGACATGCAGGCATCGTTGAGAGTGGTTTATTAAAAAGAGTAGCCCTCGCTGGGAATCATGCAAATTACGTGAAATGAACTACTCGATTAAAAATTATTTAAAGGGGCACGTGCAGACATATTGGCACGAAACCGTAAGCCTCACTTACGAAAGTGAACCATACACTCGTATTTCCATGCATAACATTCACAGAGTAATTCTATTACGCCTGTACAGATGGCACGATACATCAATGAAACATGGGTACCATCTACTGGAAAGATTTGAAACTTACTCTCACATCAAATTATTAGGGAAAGTTGTGGTTATCAAAAAAAAAAATGCTTACGATTTAAAAATACATGTTAAGGTCTCTCCAGAGTTATCCATATTAAACGCGAGAATTTAACAACCTCTGCTGACCCCACAGTACCCCAGTATCCCCGTGTCAAGCCATTTTGTTTGCGATAAGGTTGTCATAAACTGTCACTCTCAAAACTTTGCCATTAATATTTCATGGCATTCCGTTCAGTGGTTCTCATATTATTACAAGCGTACGGACAGACATGACGATGTTTATATGCGTATTATTTTAATTTCTTGGAAATTCTAAAAAAAATTGCACGTGCAAAAGTGACTGCCACATCTCATGCTATCAGAATTAACATCCATCCAAAATCTAGTGGTTCAAATTAACTCGCCAGTGTAGGTGTATCTCTACGGACTAGACACACGTGGGTATGGATTTCTCATCGCCGTAGCGTCAAGCGGCTCTGGGGCCCACAGAACATCCTGTTCTACGTGTACAGGTCGTATCTTCATCTGGGGTAACGTAGTCAGTAGTCCGCAAGCGAACTATATCGACCGAGCGACAGCCGCTTGGCGAAGTTAGTGCCAACTTTTGCGGATAAAGGATGTCGCGTGGTCAGGGCAACAGATCCCCACGGCCGTTTATCTCGGTTTTCTAGACCGGGGCCGCTATTTCCTTGAAACAGCTCCTTAATTATCCTCACGAGGCTGAGTGGACCCCATCCCAGACCCACTACTTCTCAGAAAATCTGGTAGAGCCGGGAATCGAACCCGGAACCTCTGGATATGTAGGCAAGAACGTTGACAACTAGACCACAACGGGGTACATAATTCGAGAGAATGACGAAATGTCGTGCCACTTTTCAAGTCATAATGACAGATTTCTAGCCGATCACAGTGGGCGCGCGGTCTAAAGCATGAACCGTCTTCGCCTGTTCGAACACCGGGATCGTGGGTTCGAATCCTATTCGAGGCATGGATGTCAGTTTGCGTTTATTCTGTTTGTGGTATCCTGTGTGTGAAGGTAGCGGTCTTGTGACGGACTGATCCCCCGTCCAAGGAGTTCTACCGACTGTATAGGTTTAAGAAACTGAACTAGCGGCCAAGATCCAAAGGGCTGTAGAGCCATTGAAAGATCGATATATTTTTATGGAGCACTCATGGAATGTTAACTGTAATGGGAAAACCCACGTACCCGCAAAAGAACATGCCCCAATGCTGCGTTGTGCACCATAAATCCCACATGGAATAGAACCCGGGCCTCCGAGCTAAGAAGTCAGCGACTAACCTCCTGAGGTATGACAGCTTGTACTGGTAAAGAGAAAATTTCTCCCTGTTCTTAATTAATTGAGCACCACGCCATGAAGGCGTATGGGGAAGTAGAATTGCAACTCCACCATGTTTGACCTCGGCACTAGATGAAGGTGAGTGGTAAGCTCCACGCCCCAGCCGCTTTAACACCTGAGAAAGAGCCCCCCCCCGGTACCCATTGGATAGGAGGCTGGGTGGACCCCCAGATCCAATATGGACACCGAGTAAAATAGAATGATTTCTTTCCCCTGCCAGGAATCGAATCCCGGCCGTTCATCCCATAATATGTCGCTATACCGACAGAGCTATCCCAGCTCATCTTGTACTGGTTAACTAATTAATTGGATGGAACTGAGTCCTTCTTGACAAGATGAAGATGACCCAGAAACAGGGTCGAAACTGGTAGTGGGTAGGTATAAAGCACTGTGTTGGTGGTATTATAAGAATTATATGTACAAAATACGACAAGATGTTTTAACTGATGTGTCATGTATAGCACTGAAAAACATACTCCGTGATTTTAGTCCGCAAGCGAACTATACCGACCGAGCGACCGCCGCTTGTCGGCGAAGTTTAGTGCCAACTTTTGCGGATAGTGGGTATCGCGTGGTCAGCGCAACGAATTCCCACGGCCGTTAATTTCGGTTTTCTAGACCGGAGCCGTTATTTCCTTGAAATAGCTCCTCAATTATAATCACGAGGCTGAATGGACCCCGTTCCAGACCCACTACTTCTCCGAAAAAATCTGGTGGCGCCAGGAATCGAACGCTGACCACTAGACCACAGAGACGGTCGTCTAGCACTGAAAGTCAATGTAAATCCAGTTGTGTCCGGTCGGTATCCAGTACGAATACAGAATTAAAACACCGTGGTTGTCATAAGTCCTTTAAAATGAACCCCGGTACAGATTCTTGAAATAGGCCAGCATCATGTCCTACTCGGTTCTCCCTAATTCGCCGTGTATTAGCCGCTAATCATGCTGGAACCTTGCAGATCACAGAGCGTGAAGCAGCAAAACGGAGCCGGAGTTGCACACATTGTCAGCGTGAGGAACCAGGCGGAGATCTCGTGCCCCGACAACTTTCACGTACCGGTACGCACCTGACGAAGCCACAGCCATTCATGGCACCTATCTGCTTCCATTTCCTCAGTCAATTTTACTGTAGAGTCTATGGAAGGTACACGGACCTCATTCATTTCGCCTCTTTTACTGTTTTCCCTCATTCTATCCCAAAATTTATCTCTTCCTTTCAGTTGCATTTAGCAAGTTGTTTGGACGAAAGTTTATTTCATACGCATTTAAATAAACATTGAATTAAAAACTTAAACTTACCAGGAATTCTTTCTTCTTGTATGTAAGGCCTATAGTCCGTTGAGTGTCCATTCATAAATTTGTTTCCGAAATAATGACCCTCAAATAAAAAGACTTCGTAAGGAGAGAGATCTTCTTTTTTCTGATGAAGTGTGTATTTTTAAGATATTATTTAGTGATCTTTTATGCCGAAAGAAGGCAAAATTTTAAAACAGTATTTCATTAAGTGAAATTGGTCGCAGGCATGCACGACAGCAGAGTCACTTCCTTGAGAAGAAATCATGTCCAGCAATCATAAGGACCAGGGAGAAAACCAGTTTCGGAAGTCGCAAATCAGTGCAGGTCTACATATACGTATGTGTTAAATTCAGCATACATCATGTAATTACCCAACTACGAAGTGCATGTACTACAGTCTTCTTCGTGGGGCTAATAGTCCTTCAGCTGGTCACAAAATTACGCGTATTTTTTTAATGGAATCCGAAGATTCATTGTCGGGCTTATAAAAGCCTGCCCTGTGTAACATTTCGTAACAGGGCAAATATTTTGCTACAAAATTAGAACGCTATCCTTCGTCGATTGTCCGTGGTTGTTTAATCAACGCATTTGCAGTCTCCCTGGCAGACTGCTCTATATGCACCTTAAGGACGAACATTGCCGTGATGTACACAGACGTCTGTCTGCTTTAAAAGGGAATATAGGCTCAAATAACCACCAATGCTGACAAGCCTAACCATACAACATGCATATATACGTACACTTGAAGTATAGAATTTTTACTTTAAATTAATTTAATTTTGGTGCTAAATAAATGTAGTCATAAGGCCATGCGTAAGTTAAGAAAACAGTTTTACAATATAATTTTGCAAATAATTAAGACCTGTAAATATAGTCAATGCAGCTATTCATAACACTTAATCTACTTAATCTAACATAAAGAAAGTCGTCTTCTGGGATGTGGCGCCGTGTATATATTGTATTAACCGACGTTTCGGAGGAACGTATCGCCTCCGCAAGAANCTCGTCGATGGTCCGTGGTTGCTTAATCAACGCATCTGCAGTCTCCCTGGCAGACTGCACTATATGCAACTTAAATAACAACTAGAAACTTTTAAAAACTTTACAACACCAGGAAGCTGCTGTGATTGTGAAACGTTCGACTTTATGCGTACTGTGCATTATAGGATATAAGTGTATGTATTTTAAATCAAAACACCTATTGTGATGGTAGTGTCCAGTTTGTAATGATGTTCCCTCTGAAGATGGCCCGTAAGGACCGAAACATGTAAGGGAGATAAGTTTTAACGTAGTAAAAACTTATATGTCACATTGGACGGAGTGGTTTGTATTTACTACTTTAAGTACTTAATCTAACATAAAGAAAGTCGTCTTCTGGGATGTGGCGCCGTGTATATATTGTATTAACCGACGTTTCGGAGGAACGTATCGCCTCCGCAAGAAACCAGCGTGGGCAGGTGCTGTCAGCATCACTCAGTACGCTCTCTAGGCCCTGCGTCTGTGTCCAAGTTCAGTTCACTGTCAGTGACTCTGAGCTAGGATTTCCAAGAAAATGAGCCATAAGAAACGAAAGACGGAAACGTCTAAAAGTGACATCGAAACCGAAACTCTTGAGGTGTGCAGATGGCGTTTCGTGTACCTCTCACAAAACGGGGCAGCATATATAAACAGAGCTGTGTGATTGCCACATTCAGTCAGCTGAACTTG